TCGATCCGGCCGAGATTGAGGCAGTGATAAGTTGGGAGGTGCTGAGATCCCCCACCGAGATCAGGAGTTTCCTAGGGTTGGCCGGCTACTATAAAAGATTCATCATTGATTTCTCCAAGATTGACGTGCCTCTCACCAGGTTGACCCGGAAGGGTGTTGCTTTTACGTGAGGTCCGGAGCAGCAGACCTCGTTTGAGACTCTTCACCAGAGATTATGCGAAGCTCCGGTGTTATCCCTTCTGGAGAGCATGGAGGATTTTGTGGTGTATTGTAACGCATAGATATCAGGATTGGGAGTGGTGCTAATGCAGAGAGGGCATGTGATCACATACGCATCGAGGCAGCTGAAGCCTTATGAGATGAGGTATCCCACCCACGATCTAGAGTTGGGCGCTGTAATGTTCCCCCTCAAGATCTGGCGTTACTATTTATATGGGGTCCGGTGTACTATATATACACGGACCATAGGAGTTTGAAGTACTTGATGGATCAGCCCAACCTAAATATGCACCAGAGAAGATGGTTGGATGTGGTAAAGGATTACGACTGCGAGATCCTGTACCACCCGGGAAAGGCTATTGTTTTAGCCGATGCCCTAAGTCATAGGGCGGAGAGTGCCCCGATACGAGACATTTGCATGAGATTGACGGTGATGACTCCAGTGTTGGACACCATTCAAGAGGCCCAGGTTGAGGCCGGGAGACTAGACAACCACAAGAAAGAGTGGGTAGTCGGGCAGGTGACCGAGTTTGTCGCCGACAGTCGAGGGCTTTTGACCTTTCAGGGTTGGATTTGGGTGTCGTTTGAGGGTGGGGCGCACACCATTCTGATGGAGGAGGCACATAGGTCGCGGTTCTCGATCCATCCCGGGGCCACTAAGATGTACTTGGACCTGAAGAGAGAATATTGGTGGCCTTGTATGAAGAGGGATGTCGCATGGTTTGTAGAGAGGTTCCTAACCTGTCGCAGAGTCAAGGCTGACCATCAGCGTCTGCATGGCAAGTTGCAGCCATTAGAGATTCCCGAGTGGAAGTGGGATTAGATTTCCATGGATTTTATCACCATATTGCCGAGGACTGCAAGAGGCATCGATGCAATTTGGGTGATCGTTGATCGGTTGACGAAGAGCGCTCACTTCCTTGCTATCAGTGAGAGCTCTTCTGATGAGAGGCTGGCAGAGTTATACGTAAGGGAGGTGGTATCGTGGCATGGAATTCCGGTCTCGATTGTTTTAGATCGAGATGTGCGTTTCACATCTAGATTTTGGAAGAAATTCCATGAGGAGTTGTGTACAAGGCTGCATTTTAGTATGGCATACCACCCACAGACGGACGGTCAGAGTGAGCGGAAAATTCAGACGCTCGAGGATATGCTTCAGGCATGTGTGTTGGACTTTGGGGTAAGTTGGGACACGTATCTTCCTTTGGCTGAGTTTTCATATAACAACAACCATCATTCGAGCATTGGTAAGCCTCCCTTTGAGTTATTATATGGGAGGAGGTGTCGGACCCCTATTTGTTGAGGAGAGGTCGGGCAACATGTGATGGGCAGCACAGAGATAGTACTTCAGGTGACTGAACAGATTTAGTAGGTCAGGAAGAGATTGCTGACAGCTCAGAGTCGTCAGAAGAGCTATGCGGATAGGCGTCACTCGGAACTTAAGTTTCAAGTTGGTGACTTTGTACTTCTGAAGGTATCTCCTTGGAAAGGAGTGATCCGATTCGGGAAGAGGGGCAAGTTAGGGCCCCGATATATTGGTTAATTCAGGGTGATCGCAAGAGTAGGCAGGGTAGCACACTGGTTGGAGCTACCTACAGAGTTAGGTTAGATTCATGACACTTTTCACATATCGCAGTTGAGGAAGTGTGTGGCCGATGAGTCGGCGGTGGTACCATTAGAGGATATCCAGGTGGATGCGAGCCTGAACTACGTTGAGAGACCGATTGTAATTATGGATCGGAAGACCAAGGTTCTGAGGAACAAGGAAGTGCCCCTGGTGTAGGTCCGGTGGCAACATCGGAGAGGGTTGGAGCTGACTTGGGAGCCGGAGCGAGAGATGCGTGAGTAGCATCCAGAGTTGTTTGCGGAGAGAGACTTCGAGGACAAAGTTTGATTCTAGTGGGGGAGAATTGTAACACCCGGATTTCCAGGTATATTATTTTATTCATTTATTTTGAGTTTGGGGAGGAACTCGGCGAGTTGATGCTTAGACTTGCCGAGTAGGACCGCAGGTTCTTATCCGGATTGGAGACCAGACTCGACGAGTCGACTCGTGGAATCGGCGAGTCCACGCTGTTAAGTGAAACCCTAATTTCTCGGGTTCGGGATCTATTTAAAGTCTCTTATAGCCTTCAGTTGCGGCTACCAGACCCCAGAGAGAAACCCTAAGAGAGCTAGAACGTTTGTGAGGAAGGAGAGGCCATTTTTGATCCTTGTGTTGGTGTTCTTGCAAGAAGAAGGTGATCAAGGAAAGAAGGAGTTGAAGAGGGTGCTATTCTGTAGATTTCAGAGCCCTGGGACTTCATATTTGAGGTATAGATTCGATCCTTCATTAGTTTTGGTGTTAACTTTTGGAGTTAGGGTTTTCTAGACCCTTTAGAGGCTTGATTGGATGAGCATTTGGTCCCTTCTCGTATTGAGGCTTTGGATCTGGATCCAAAGAGGTCCAGAGACCATAACCCTTTGATCTTTATGATTGATATTAGGAGACATGAGCTTAGGATGTCATATTTGAGGTTATTTCTCCAAATAGAGCCTTTGGGCCTTTGCATGAGCATCAAGATCTGAACTTTACGTAATTATCATGCTTGGGAAGGTCAGATCTATGGATTAGAGGAATAGATCCGACCTCAGGAGGTCATTTTAGTTTAAGCATGGCATGAACTCGTCGAGTCCAAGAACAGACTCGACGAGTATGATTAGTTTTCCCCAAGAATCACACAGTTGGTGACTCGCTGAGTTAGGGAAATTACTCGGTGAGTCAGATGGGATTTAGAGGACCTGAGTTCATGACTGAACTCGCCGAGTCAAGAGCTTGACTCAACGAATTGGGTAGGGCTGTCCCGCAATTCACAAACAGAGATGATTTCAAAGAGCGTAGGGTTGCCCAAGTGAGTCAAGTGAGAACCAGAGGTGAGGAGGACACACATGGACTCGCCGAGTCACATTTGTGCACTCGAAGAGTCTGGTCAAAGGTTTGACCATTGACTTCTGTTGACTTTTAAGGTTTGGTCAACAATTGGACTTGTGGACTGTTTGAAGGGTAAAATGCTCTTTTAGCCTTCTTAGAGGACATGTGAGGATCTAGTCTAACCTGGAGAGCTGTTATTGATTGACATGATTGTTTATCTGTTTAGACAGAGGCTAGATCAGTGTTTACGTGAGCGAGATATAACCGAGACATCCAAGTTGAGTCTTCTCACTATATTTTACCTGGAGTGGTAATTAGAGTTATGTGACAGAGTTCTTGTATGCTATTTATGTGATGTGTTGCACTGCATTATTTCTATGTGATTTATGTCGTGTGTATATCAGAGTATATCAGAGTTAGAACCGGAAGGTTCACAGAGTTAGGACCAGAAGGTCCACAGAGTTCGGGCCAAAGGTCCACAGAGTTATAGCCTAGAGTGGCTAGTATGTGTTATGTGTGGTATTTTGGGGAACTCACTAAGCTTCGCGCTTACAGTGTTTTGTGTTTCAGGTACTAGTAAGGATCGCGGGAAGGCGCCGACATTATCAGTACATACACACGTGGAGTTTTATTTATATGTTATGATCTTGGGATTTTTGACTTATGTTTGAACATATGAAACAATGTGTTTTATAATATTGTGAATTACATTGTCCTTAAAATGTGAAAATTTGTTTGAAATTTTACGGCGTTACAGAAATGCCATATGAGTAGCTGCTCCCGTATCTGAAACGCCTAGGAAACGAAAACGCCAGTGAAAAGGCCGGGAAACGTTTCCGACAAGTATCGGTAATCCCTAAAACGTTTCTTGCACGTTTCATTCACGTTTCCTTTTTTTATTTGCATGGACTTTTAATACGCAGAAATAGAGAATGGGCTTAGTCGGTTAGTCCTATGTTGGTTGTTAATGCTATTACCATACAATTAGTCAATTAGTCAATTAGAATTTAGAATTTTGTAAACGTAATGCCGTTGCCTACTCTTTTCATTGGTGGTCATCGACTTTTATAGTTTTTTTATTACCTCTATGTGTCGTCGATCAAGAAGACAAGAACAAGAAAAAAAAATCAAAACTCATTCACACATTCACCACTCACCAATTCGATTATTATGGCTTCTTCTCAAGAATAAGAAACACAAGGATCATCTACATCAGTAGACCAACCTCGATTGTGGGACTTTGTGAGTAAACTCGATAAACTTGCTGGAGCAGGAGGATGTTGGAAGTTCAAGTGTAACCTTTGCAGTGAAACCCGACAAGGATCATATTCTAGAGTTAGAGCACATTTGCTTGGCATAAAAGGTAATCTATTATTCAAATTAGTGTGTGTGTCTATGTAATTTTCGATTTTTGATTTATGTTATTGACTTATTGTATTGATTCATGAAAAATTGTAAAGAAAAAAATTAGAGGCTGCGATTTTTGTTTTGATTCATCATTCATGTATTTGTTGTAATTTTTTATTCATGTTATTGTATTGAAGTATTGAACTATTGATTCATTAACAATTGTAATGAAATAACTAATAAGAGGCTGCAATTTTTTTTTTGATTCATGTATTTGTTGCACTGTTGATTCATGTTATTCAATAGAACTGTTTATTCATGAACAATGGTAAAGTCAAATAAATAAGAGGTTTTTGATTCACTTTTTTGTTTTGATTAATGTAATGTAATTGAATTTATAATGTCAATGATGACCTTATTTTTTTCATGTTGTGTAATTGAGAATGTCAATGTTATTATGTTGTTTAATATTGGTACCGGGATTTCTATTTGCAAGAAAGCAACAACATCTGACAAACTTAACATGACACAATTAGAAGATGCATATGAAAAGAAGAAAACCGAATCACAAGCAAAAGAAGTCCAGTTGCCATGTGAAGCTGGTGTTGGATTTAAGAAAAGAAAAGGTATTTCAACACCTATTGAAAGAGCTTTTGGTGATGAAATTAGGGACGAACTGGATCAAGAAATAGCTAGAATGTTTTATACCGGAGGTTTACCTTTTAATCTTGCAAGAAATCCACACTATGTTAGGGCTTTTCAGTTTGCTGCTAACAACAAAATTGATGGTTATGTACCTACTGGTTATAATAAGCTAAGAACAACATTACTACAAAAAGAAAAAGATAATGTTCACAAGCCATTGGAGCCACTTAGGTCTACATGGAAAGAAAAATGTGTGACTATTGTGAGTGATGGCTGGAGTGATCCTACCAGAAAACCTCTAATCAACTTCATGGCTACCTCAGGTAATGGTCCTTTGTTTCTAAAGGCAGTGAATTGTTTTGGGGAAGTGAAAGATAGATTTTTTATTGCTGAATTGATGAAGGGAGTCATCAATGAAATTGGTCATGAAAATGTTGTGCAAATAATTACTGACAATGCACCAAATTGTAAGGCGGCTAGAGAGATTATAGAGAGTCAGTTTCCTCACATTTATTGGACACCATGTGTTATTCATACACTTAATCTTGCTTTGAAGAACATTTGTTCACCAAGGAATGTGGAAACAAATGAACTAACATATGAACAGTTTCGTTGGATAAAAGAAGTTCACGAAGAGGCGTTTGCAATAAAAAAAATTACGTCAAGAACCATAACATGAGGTTCTCGATTTTCACCAAGTTTACTCCTCTTAGGCTGCTTTCTGTTGCTGACACTCGCTTTGCCTCCATCATTGTGATGCTTAAGAGATTGAAACTTATCAAAAGCAGTCTTCAAGATATGTTCATAAGCGAAGAATGGTCTTCTTATAGATTAGATGACACTGAGAAAGCAAACGCTGTGAAAGAATATATTTTGAATCATGATTGGTGGGATAAAGTAACATATATTCTTAGTTTCACTGGACCTATATATGAGATGATTAGAGGTTGTGACACTGACAAGCCATGTTTACACTTGGTCTATGAGATGTAGGATTTTATGATTGAGAAAGTGAACATTGAGATCCACAAGAAAGAAAAACGTCCGACATCTCAAATAAGTTGTTTTTATGACGTTGTGCATCGTATTTTAGTGGCTCGATGGGCGAAGAATAACACTCCCCTACATTGTTTAGCTCACTCTTTACATTCAAGGTATAAGATTTTAAATTATACACTTGATTTGTATTATATATTTATGTTTTAACTTTTGGATGTTTGCAGATATTATAGTGATGCATGGTTAATGGAGGATTCTACAAGATGCCATCCACATAGGGATTGAGAAATTTTACAAGAAAGGATGAAATGTTTTCGAAGGTTGTTTCCTAATGGTGATGAGTATGGCAGAGTCCTTGATGAGTATGAGATGTTTTCAATGAAGAGTGGTCCTTTTGAAGATTTAACAAGCATTTCAAAGATGGCTACTATGGAACCCAAGAATTGGTGGGTTAACTTTGGTGCTCAAACTTCTTTTCTCCAGACTTTGGCTTTTAAATTACTCGGACAACCTAGTTCTTCTTCTTGTGTTGAGCGTAATTTGAGTACTTATGCATTTATTCACTCGCTTAAAAGGAACAAGTTGACTACAAGTCGTGCTCAAGACTTGGTTTACATCCACAATAATCTTCGACTTTTGTCAAGGACTCCGAAAGATGATGTAAAGATGTGGGATGTGGGTGGAGATGCTTTTCATTCAATGGAAGACGTCGGGTTTTTGGAGTTTGCAGATCTCTCACTAGATGAACCCGACTTTGAAAATGATTTGATTATTGATAATTAGTTACTTTTAAAAATATTTAGTATTTTTGGAGTTTAAACTTTACATTTTTTGGAATTTTATATATATATATATATATATATATATATATATATATATATATATATGTTTTTTCATAGTTTTATATTGCCGTATTTGTGCCGTATCCGTATCTTGAATTTTTGAGTTTTGTCGTTTCCCGTATCCGTTCCGTATCCGTTTCCCGTTGCTGTAGCCGTTTCCGTGCAACTTAGGTGTTTTGTATACAAAAATGTTTTTTAATAAATAAAATACGTGTTTCTTATACAAAAATGTTTTTAAAAACATGCTTGTATACATTTTTAGGAAATACTTGTTTCACATAAATACCTATGTTTATAAATAGGTATTTCATGTTTCATATACAAAAAATATTTTAAAAAAAGGTGTCTTTTTAAAATACGAAATACATGTTTCTATAAAAATACGTGTTTCATATTCAAAAATGTTTTTTTAATATGTGTTTCGTATAAAAAAATGTTGTAAAAAACATTTTTATATACACATATTTATCTTCCATATTGCGAGGTTCACAATTTTTTTTTGTCTTAGATCCCATCCTTTTTTTTTCCGTCACACGCCAACACTACAATTAAATTTCTGCAACTCCATGATACCACGAATTACCCATTTACTTTTCCTTAAATTTTATAATTATGACATGCATTTACACGATTATTCAACTTTATCGGCTCAACCATTTTAGAGGCTCTAAGAAAACAAAAAAGTTGGGAGTCTTTAGGAAAGCAAGTAGATTTGAACCTAAGACCTTGGTTTGCTAAACCATCACTTTTACCACTAGGCCAAGCTACAACTTGTCTTTGCAACCCAGGAAATATGTATATATACATATATAATTAACATAATAAGTTTTAAAATTGGAAGCCATAAGCCCTTTCTTAGTTTTGTAAAGCATAGAGCCGGCCCTGATATATATATATATATATATATATATATATATATATATATATATATATATATATATATATATATATATATATATATATATATATATATATATATATATATATATAAAAGGGACAATTTGGTCATTTAATTGTCATGTTTTGTTCCGTCCTAATGCTACCAAACGCTTCATAGATAATCTGAAACATATTGTCTCGTACAGTTCAGTTTTGTTCAGTCCATTACTATTCCACCTAGTCCTATCACCAAACGCTACCTTAAGGATTATGAATTCCTCTTCCAACTCGTTTCAAAATAAGCGTTATAGCAAAAGAACAAGAAGAAAACAAAAAACCACACCTATTCGTGAAAAATGATTTATAGATTACCAACACAACTTTTAGACGCAAAGTGAATTCACTTCTTATTCATGAAGCTCATTGAATCCATGCGAGTTTATGTGATTACTTATAAAATGCGATACTTACAAAAATAATTGGTTATTGAAATTGTTAAACGACCGGATACATGATAAGTTTCATTGTTTTGTGGTTTATTGTCAAAACATGCTAATAAATCAAAGGTTGGTTTAATCCCAATAAAGCATATATATCAACTCTATGTGTTACATTTTATAATAGCATACCCGTACTGAAAATACCGATGATGAATTGATGATGGAATGACGTGTGTTACAAGGTAGCCTTGAACTAGCATGGAATATGCAAATGACGTGTTTTACAAGGTAGTCTTGAATTAGTTTGGAAAATACTAAGAGAATAACATGATTTTCTCTTAATTATTATATGTGCACTGCTGCATAGTGCATACAATTGAATACAGCATGGGCTGGGCCCAATCGTGTAAATAAGAGGCTAAGGGGCTATAGCAGATAAAGCCCATAGCGCTCATAAATATAATCATAGATTCATAGTAGATTCATAATTTATACTTTATTGTGTCATTTGCAAAAAGTAAAAAATACATGGAGTTTTATTAGCAACTTAAAAATGTTACAGGATTAGTAATCATCAGTAATATAATTGTATTTCTTTTAACGAGTTTAGTAAACTTTTTATTTCAAAAAAATTAAATACTTATTCGCGAAATTTTGAAAGGTACGATGAGTTTCTCGATAATAACCTTAAAATTTACAATAATTCATAACAATGAACTAAGAATGATACTATTATTGTTTCTAAAAAAACAAAGTTAGCATCAATTCTATCAATTTTATGTTGACAAATAAAATTTTCGATTTACAAAACCCAAATTGGTGAAACATCCCAAAAATTTCGTTTTAAAAATCATTAATAAAACCATAAATCATCCATAGTCATAAAGAAAATCAAGTATCATGTATCTCAAAACATCGTGACAAGTATTGTATCAAAATCATATGAGAAAAATATAAGAGTCTCAACATCCCAGGTTGGAACTGTGGTGTGTGTCATGCGATCACCCCGAGCCATTCCCCTTGCTATCGGAAGTATCTGAAACCAAAACTGAAAACTGTAAGCACGAAGCTTAGTGAGTCTCCCAAAACTACCACATACCATACAAATATCATGAAACTAGGAGATACGGGCCTCGCATACACTCCGTTGCCTAGGAGATTCGGGCCCCGCCCACACTCCGTTGTCTAGGAGATTCGGGCCCCGCCCACACTCTGCTCCTAAAATGCATACAAGTATCACACAGACAACAATTATATCTACCAAACAATCACATATCTATACTCAAATAATACTATGAGCATCGGGCCCCGCCCACTCTAGACTGCTACGAGATTCAGGCCCCACCCATACTCATTTACTAACATATCACATATATGGGCCGGCCATGGTGCCTTAGACCCGTTCCTACAGAAAAGGAACTCACATTGTATTACTGACTGCTGAAAACCTGAGTGAGGAATCCCTGTCTGCTGCTCCGGTGAATCTCCGGCTATGAATTCCATAATAATACTTCATCAAAAACTAATAACTCTTCATAAGGTAAAATGACCATTTTACCCCTAGTTAAAGTCAACATTATGGATTAACCAACTTGCCGAGTAAACTTTTCGACTCACCGAGTTCTATCAAGATGTTCAGTCACGACTTGGCTCTTCCACTCGTTGAGTACCTCTACAGACTCGTCGAGTTCTACTACTGAAATGGGGACAACACGACACGACTCATCGAGTTCCCTTATGGACTCGTCGAGCCCTTCTGTCTGTTTGGCCAACTTAACGGATTAAGCCCCTAGTTTCTAGATCCAAGGTTCTTAGTTTGTTTGCCCACTGGAAAGGCCTTTCTAAGGGTAAAGTTTCCAACTTTACCCATCCATAACTCTTCTAGAAGGGTTTGGACAAAACCTTAATTCCTATAATACATGAATCTTGTACAAAAGGCCATAGAGTCTCGAATCCACGCATAAAAACCTAGATCTAGGGTTTTAACATCTGTTGGACCCATAAAGTTTCGAGCTTTCCTTTCATGCATAGTATTTTAGGGCTAAAAAGACCATAAAATTGCTCATATGCTTGCATTGGGCTTCCATGGTCATAAAGTTTGCACCTTAATTTATGCCATGGAACCCTCCCTAGAGATATGAGCCACTTGGGACGTCCCAACTCCAAGGACCAAGGTTCTTGAACCAAAATTTTCATAAAATGGAAACAAATAGATCTAAGAGAAGAATGATCAAATTTGAAACTTGATTACCAAAAAATGTAGCTAATGGAGTGTAGTTCCTGAATATACTCTTTCCTTCTTGAGTCTTCTATCTTCTACTTCTTCCATAAGCTTCAAAAGGCACCAAATAACACTTAAAATGGCAAGAAATAGCTCAAGATCACTTATGATGGATTCGGGTTTCGAAGTTAGGGTTTTGGAGGTGACGGTGGCTGGAATGGAGGCCAGATATGATGTTTAAATAGGGTGCAAACCCTAAATATTAGGGTTTCATCCAGCCTGTCCTAATCGTCGAGCCAGGGCTGCGACTCATCGAGTAGCTCCTTAAAACCCTCGCATACAAACTACATTCTACTCGACGAGTCAGGGATACCTACTCGTCGAGTCCTTCTTTCAAAATAAATAGATAAATACTTAATTAAACGCGTACCAGGAAACTGGACGTTACAATTCTCACCCACTTGTCTTAGACTTCGTCCTCGAAGTCTGCTATGTCTGAAAAAAACTTTGGGTAGTGCTACCTCATCTCCTCCTCGGGCTTCCAAGTCCACTCCGAGCCCTTACAGTGCTGCCACTGCACCTTAACTAGCTCAACCTTCTTGTTCCTCAGCTCCTTAGTCTTGCGATCCAGAATCGCCACCGATCTCTCAATGTAATTCAGGCTGTGATCAACCTAAATATCTTCTAAGGGTACCACTGCTGAATCATCCACCAAGCACTTCCGTAGCTGGGAAACATGGAATATGCTATGTATCTGGATGAGCTTTACTGGGAGATTTAACCGGTAAGCAACCCGACCCACCCGGGCCAAAACCCTAAACAGACCAATGAACCTGGGGCCCAGCTTTCCCGCTTCCCAAATCTGATAACACCCTTCCAGGATGACACTTTTAGGAGGGCCAT